GCCGCCTCTCCCCAGCCCGGCACTCGTGCCCCCGGGGCTGCCGCGGCCAGGGCCAGTCTGAGCAGAGCCCCACGCCCCGGCACGGGCGCCCAGCCAGCCCGGGCGGCAGCAGCGAGCCACGGGGCAGGCTGCCAGCGCCTGCCGGGCTCTGAGGAACAGAGCAGGACCAGAGGGGATTTCCAAGGCCGGGAGTGCCCAGCCTGGGCCTCGCTGCCGGCCACCCACCTCGGGGGAGGGCAGGCAGGCAGGCAGGTGCAGGCAGCAGCTTGTGGGCCCCAACCCCGGGGCACCAGCGCCAGCCGGAGCAGAGGTCACCCCACCGGCGCCGGGCACTGACTCAGCCCCACGAGGCCAACGCCGTGGGCGAGTGGGAGAAGCCACCGAGCCCCAGGGCTGCAGACAATGAGGCGACTGTTCTAGGACCGGCACCTCATGACCGCGGCACGGCCTCGCCGAGCTCCCCGGCTGGGACCCGCTTGGTGGGGAGGACACCACGGCACACGTGTAAGAGGGGTGCAGGACCGAGGTGGGGGGAGCCCTGGGCTCCCCGCTGTCCGGCTCAAGCCCCAGCTAGAAACACAGGCAAGCCCCTTCCCTGCCAAGCATCCTCCCCGAGCCAGCCAAGGGCACTGCCGGCGGGACGGCGGCGGAGACGGAAAAGGAAGTCACAGGACTCTGAAGTCACCTCTCGCACCCAAACACGCCAGAGCAGTCTGAGCCACGCTCAGCCAAGGGCAACACGTCTCAATGTCAGACACCGCTGGAGCTGCAGCCCGTGGCCTAGCCTCAGGGGACAGCGCGCTGCCAGCCCTGCCGGGCTCCCCGTGCCTTGCTGGGGCTGCCGCCCCACGGCTGGGGAGCGGGGGCCCAGCCTGTGCCCCACGGCATCCCCACGGCATGGGCAGGCAGAGCTCTCCCCTGAGCCTGCTGCCACACAGGGCGTGCCAGGCACCCGGCGGAGCCCAGGGTACCGTCCCCATGCCGGAGAGAGTCGCCTCAGGCACGGGAAGGGCACCGGCTCCAGCGCAGAGTCCCTGCCCGTGTGGGGATCCCATCACACAGGACAGGGATGCTGCATCTCTTTGGAAAAACCTGACTTTATTAACACACTAAGGTCCTACCTGCGCTCCCCGACCCCACGCCTCTCCCGTGGCGTGGGCAGCCAGTCCCCTCGCAAACGAGGCGCTGCACCACGCTCCCCCGGCAGAGACCCAGCCCCATGGGATGCAGCCAGCTGGGGCCGAGCGGGGACAGCCCACATGCCCCATGGCCCGGGTGGTAGCCCAAGGAGGCGGGTGCTCACCATGGGCACCCCAGCCCAGATTGCCAGGCTCCCCAGGGGAGAGGAGCTGCGGTGGGGCTGAGCCTCTAGCTGAGCAGGGAAGCACAGGAGCCCTCGGTGACAAACGCGTTCGGCCCCAGCACAGGGGTGTGGTGCGCACAACTCCCGGTGCACGGGCAGCTGGCACCAGGAGGCTCAGCGGGAGGCTGGCAGGAGGGACCGGGCTGGCCAGGAGCCATGGGTCGCGCCAGCCCCAGGGAGCAGAAGGCTCCCGCAGCAGCACAGCTGGGAGAGGTGGCTGGGCCAAGACCCGTGTCAGGGCATCCTGCCCTTGCTGCAGCCTCCCAGCAGGTCTCCGCTTCTTTCTCAGGAGCCAGAGGCTGTTGATGTTCCCGAGGGGCTCCCAGGCCCCGGCCACACTGCAGCAGCAACGTCCCTTCCTGAGCAGCAGGTAGCCATGAGGCCTGCCCCACTCCCAGCGGGCAGCGAAGGCGACAGAGGGCAGAGGGGCTCCTGGTTCTGGGCTGCGCCTTGGCAAGGCAGCGGGCTGGCCACGCAGCCCTGCCAGCTGGCACGGGAGATGCCACGGCAGACAGGCAGGAGCCAACGGCCCCACGCTTCCCTCGGCAAGTCCTTCCCGGCAGTTTCTGTCCTGCCGCCCGATGTCTTCGTCGCGTAGCGTCCTAGGACGGTGTGTGCCCCGGTGGCCCTGCTCCTGCAGCTGGCCGCGCGCCCGTGCCTATCTCCAGCGGGTCTGGTAAATGAGCGGGTAGAAGACGTTCAGGAAGAGAGCCACGATTGCGGCCGTGGTGGCCAGGACAAAGTATCTGACGCAGCCTTCGTCTGGGTGCTGGGGGGTGCCCGGACTC